TGTAACCTCTCCTGTCTCCCTGTGGGCAATGAGGCTTACAACCTTGTTTTCCCGACTGGACAGGCCATTTCCTCCCAGCCACAAGGCAACCCAAGGTGGTACCTGGGCTTCTGATAGTTTGTTCTCTCTTCATTTTAACCCCCAAAGATTGCCACTATTCTTGTGAATTTGGCTATGAAGTTACAGTTATTTATAAATACACATCTAAGCTAGTCACAGCGGAATATATCTGAAGTCCCTGCTACTCAGGATGCTGATACAGAGCAAGAGTATTCCATGAACCCAGGATTTTTTTTTTTGAGGTAGGGTCTCTCTATGTAGCTCTGGTTGTCCTAGACCTCACTATGCAGACCAGGGTGGCCTGGAACTCACAGAGATCTCTACTTCTGCCTCCCAAGCGCTGGTATTAAAGACATGCTATGGCTAGATTTTAATTTTTTATATTACTTATTGTGTGTGTGTGTGTGTGTGTGTGTGTGTTTGACTTTTTTCAAGACGAGGTTTCTCTTTGTAACAGCCTTGGCTGTCCTGGAACTTGCTTTGTAGACAAGGCTGGTCTTGAACTCACTGAGATCCTTCTTGCCTCTGCCTCCTGGGTGTTGGGATTAAGGGCATGCACTACCACACCCAGCCTAGATTTTAAATATTTTAGGTGTGTTTTTGTGTATGTGTTTGTGAGAGAGCATGCTACACATGTGTGGGTGTCTATGAAGACCAGAAGAGGGTGTCAGATCTGGAGCTGGGGTTTTGAAGGAGCTGCGGGCTGCGTTCCTGCCAACCAGCTTCCGGCCGCCTGGCTAGCTTATGCCCCAAAATAACAACACACAAATTGTATTCATTTAAACACTGCTTGGCTCATTTAGCACCACGAGGTGGTGACTTACCAGGGAGATTCTAGCCTACGTCCATCTTGGGTCGGAGCTTCATTGCATCTGCTCTGGAGAGGGGAGGCATGGAGTCTGAGCTCACTTCCTCTTCCTCCCAGCATTCTGTTCTGTTTACTCCACCCACCTATGTTCTAACCTATCAGGCCAAGCAGTTTCTTTATTAATTAACCAATGACCTTCCTCCATCACTGGGGTAGTTGTGAACGATCTAATGTGGGGGTTGGGAAATGAACACAGGTCTTCTGGAAAAGAAGCATTCTAAATTTCTAAGTCATCACTCCAGGCCATAAGACAGATTTTTTTGAGTTAGATGGGAAGGCGCGTATATCTGTAATTCTAGTACTTGGGAGATGGGAGCAGGAGAATCAGTAGTTTAAGGTCCTTTCTGGCTACACAGTGACATCAAGGCCAGCCTAAACTGTATGAGACTCTCTCAAAAGTTGTTTGTTTACCTCTTTAATCATTTATTTGTTCATTAATTTAGAATGTTGATGCTTAAACCCAGGGCCTACTGCGTGCTAGGCAAGTGCCCTACCGCCAAGACATAGTCTCCCATCCATCTCCCTTAGTTTTTGGTGGCACACGCCTTTAATCCCAGCACTCAGGAGGCAGAGACAGGAGGATCTCTGTGAGTTCAAGGCCAGCCTGATCTACAGAGTGAGTTCTAGTACAGGCACCAAAGCTAAGAAAAACCCTGTCTCAAAAAAAAAAAAAAAACCAAAAAAAAAAACAAATAAATAAAACAAAAAAGCCCCCAAAAACCAAAAAAACAACAACAACCCAAAAATTACTTTTTTTTTTTTTTTTTTTTTTGGTAAATTGGGAGAACAGTAGGTCTTAAGTGACAGTTATGAAAATGAAAAGGAAGATGGGTAGTCCTCCGTAGTCTTTCCCAGAATTCCAAGAAGAGTTGTTACCACAGAAGAAATGACAGAACTAGAAGACTACCGTCTCATGGCCTTGAAGAAACAACTCAGGTTCCATAAGCGGGCTCTACAAGCAGCGGGTGAAGTATTGGTGTTCACAGGCAGCATGGAGAGCCGTCTCATGTGGCAGACACAGTGGGCCTTCTGCTGGAGAGACTCTCCAGTCTTCAGTCTGACATGGATGCCAAGTGTCTCCTGTACGGTGACATGCTACCTGACCTCATGTCACAGCGATTACCTGGCATCTTCTCCAGAATGCTTGGCACTAATCCCCCAGCCTTTACGCCTGACTTTTAGCAGACTGCTCGCTTTGTCCATCTACATTACTGTAATGAGATACTCGAGGCTTGGTAACTTATAAAGAAAAGTGGTTTATTTAGCTCGTGGGTTAAAAGTCACAGTGCTGGCCCTGGCGAGAGGCCTGTTTGCTGTATAACATCATGGTGCAGAACATCACAGCGGTATACATTTGTTGGAGAGGGAGAGAGTCCATGGAGGGTCAAAAACAGTGAGGGAGAAGAACCAAATTTGCAGTTTTTGTTACAGCTCTGTCTGGAGAGAAGGAACTTGAGCCTTTGTTGTTGACACTGTTGGTGGGAAGGAGGAACTGGAGCCTTTAGGGGGTATGCCTAGTACAAGGAAGTTAAGTCATCAGTGCTTGGCTTGAAAGAGATCTTGGGACTGACGGTAAGCCCTCCCTTCCATTCTGTTTGCCAGCCTCCAGCACACAGCTTCCCCCCTGCTGTGCCACCACAGGCCCTCTGTGAACTGAAATCTGAAATCTCTGAACCTGAGCCAAACTTAGCTTCTCCTTGGGCACTTTCTCGGTGGCTGAAGGCTGATGAGTACCCAGAATCCGAGGGAATGCCCCTAGCAACTTGCATTTTAGGAATATGTTGTGAGTGAGCCCAAAGGACAGCTCAGGGAGTAGTGGCACTTGTCACCAAACCGGACAATCTGAGTTCAATTTTTGACACCCACGAGTAGGAAAGAACTGACTCCACGAATATGCCATAACACTTGCGTGTGCGTGTGTGCATGCGTACACATACACACACACACACACACACACACACACACACACAGGACGCTTGCGTGAGAGGGTGTAAGGTGTCTCCCGCTTAAGCAGGCAGGAGCTGCATGAGACAGGCTATCTCCGTTGCTCTTCCTGTCCTGCCATGGTGAATTCATGTGTGGACCCGTTATGAAGGTCAGAATCTAAGTTCCATCCTGTCTCCCTCTGTTGGCTAAGGTCAAGCTCCCACTCCTACCTGATGTCCTCAGGAGAAACAGGAGGACAATATAAGGCTGGCCTTAGGGAAGTCGGGCTAAGAGGGAAGGACAGAGATGGCCTGAAGGACTGGCTTCCTGTAGGATGTGTGTGCTCCCTCCATCTCAGTACAGCCGCTGGGGTGCTAGAAAGAGGACAGGGAAAGGGGGGGGGGGACACCAAGCCACGGCAGGACGAGAGGATGTGGAGAGGCCCCCATATGCTTCAGCTAGTGGCAGCTTCCCTTTTGCACCGGAGTTGGGAAACCAGGGGCCTGCTGACTCCCCAGGGAGGGGTCTCACCCAACTTCTGTCAGTCTCAGAGGTATCTGCTGCCCTCAGGGGTTCAGACTCCTAAAGCTAAGGACCCCTTCTGTGCTGGGTGTGACCCCGATAGCACCCTCCCTTGTCTCCTTTTGGTGTGGGTTGGTTTCTGGTGTTGGGACTGAACCCAGGGTTCAGACTTGAACTCTGTCACTATCTATCCTCAGCCGTTTGAGTTAGGGTCTTGATAAATTGCCCAGGCTGGCCTTGAACTTGTTCTGTAGCCAAGGCAGATCCTAAGGAGGGCATCAGATCTATGGGAGCAAGAGTTACAGGCGGTTGTGAGCTGCCCCACACAGGCACCAGGATCCAAGCTTGAATCCTGGCAAGAGCTGGACCTGCTGATTACTGAGCCGTGTCTTCATCCCTGGTCTTGAACTTTTGGTCCTCCGGCCTCAGTATCTTGAGTAAATGAGATTACAGGCCTGTACCACCAAACCCTACCAGGTCTCAGGCAGACCTTGAGTGGCCTCAAATTCAGTAATGTAGCCAGAAGGACCTTCAGCTTCTGATTCTCCAGTCTCTACTTCCCAGGGGGCGGGAACTGCAGTGTTCACTGCCATCCCGGCCCTTCTTTATGTATGTATCAGTTTATTTCTGTTGTCTTATTGTTTATTTATTCATTTACTTTTGCAGTGCTGGGGATTGAATCTAGGACATTATACACGCTCACCAAACGCTCTACCATGGAGCTACACTCAAACCCTCTGTTTGTAGTTCAGAAGTGGCAGCTACTCCATCACAAGAAGGCATCAGCTGCTCTTTGGGCACATCTTATAGGAAGTGACACAATGCTGGTTTGCAGATAATCGATAGAATAACTAAATTTTTTTTTTTTTTTTTGGATTTTTCGAGATAGGGTTTCTCTATAGCTTTTGGTTCCTGTCCTGGAACTAGCTCTTGTAGACCAGGCTGGCCTCGAACTCACAGATATCCGCCTGCCTCTGCCTCCCGAGTGCTGGGATTAAAGGCGTGCGCCACCACCGCACGGCTAAATTTTTTTTTTTCTTTTTGAGACAGGGTTTCTCTATGTAGCCCTGGCTGTCCTGGAACTTGCTTTATAGACCAGGCTGCCTCCTGAGTGTTGTGATTAAAGGCGTGTGCCATCACCGCCCAGTGACAAGTTAATTTCAATACAGAACTGACTTCTGTGTGGTAGGTAATTTGCTGTTTTAGGAACTCATGGTAAGCATCTCTTCCATCCCCGTGGTCAAACAGATCAGCAGGGGTGGAGCCGGTTCCATCTGCCTCCTGGTTCCTGACCATTTGGCAAGATGGACGATGGCATTTCTGGCTTTTAGCCAACAGCCCTGGCTCCCTGGGAAGACCTGGCTGTGACTGTCAAGAAGTACTGGCTTGCCGGGCGGTGGTGGCGCACGCCTTTAATCCCAGCACTCGGGAGGCAGAGGCAGGTGGATCTCTGTGAGTTCGAGACCAGCCTGGTCTACAAGAGCTAGTTCCAGGACAGGCTCCAAAACCACAGAGAAACCCTGTCTAGAAAAAAACCAAAAAAAAAAAAAAAAAAAAAGTACTGGCTTTTCTCCTTCCTTCCTTCCTTCCTTCCTTCTTTCCTTTATTTTTGTTTCTCAAGACAAAGTTTCTCTGTGGCTTTGGTTCCTGTCCTGGAACTTGCTTTATAGACCAGGCTGGCCTCGAACTCACAGAGATCCGCCTGCCTCTGCCTCCAGAGTGCTGGGATTAAAGGCGTGTGCCACCAGTCTGGCAACTCTGGTTTTTCATTACAGGCCTTCCCCCACCTGTTTCCAAATCTAGACTGTTCCGATATCTCTCTCCATATTCCCACTCTCTCCTTGCCATCACTGCTGTCTTTGTACAACAGAGAAGAAAACTCCACTATAAAACATTTGGGGTGTTGGGGAGACAGAACCAGGATGGGGAATGTCCATCCTAAACCTCTTCCCCCAGGTCCTGAAGTTCTCATTTCTCAAGGAGTCCTTAAGGACATCGGCATCCCCTTGTCCTCAGAGTCTGTGCTGCCCATCCAGGCCAGGAGTAAGGCTCCGCCTGCAGTTCTGGCTGGAAACACTGGCGTCTGTGTACCCTGGCTTCTGTTCTGGCTTCCCACACGCATTTAGCAAGTACAACGGGTGTTCTCGTTGGGGCCCTGGGCCACAAAAATTGGGCTGGAATCCTGGGAAAGACCTTGCTGGGCACTCTCCCCATACAGGTGCAGGCTGTTGCGGGCAATTAACTCTTTGGCCATGAGGATGAAGACTTCGTCTATGTTCCTGGACTCCTTAGCGGACGTCTCCAAGACAGCCAGGAGGCCGTACTTCTCAGCCAGTGTGCAGGCGTCCTCGAACAGGACATGCCGCTTCTCCCACAGGTCCGATTTGTTTCCTACAGAGGAGGTGTGGAAAGATAACTGAGAACACAACCTGTCTATTGAAAATGAACTTTTTCCCTCCCTCCTTTCCTTTCTTCCCTTCTTTCTTGTTTGTTTGCTTATTTGTTTGTTTTTCAAGACCAGGTGTCCCAGAACTCACATTGTAGACCAGGCTGACCTCAAACTCACAGAGTTCCACCTGCCTCTGCCCCCCGAGGCTGGCATTAAAGGTGTGCACCACCACCACTTGGCCTGTCTTTTTTTTTTTTTTAAAGACTTATTTATTATGTATACAGGGTTCTTCCTGCTTGTATGCCTTCAGGCCAGAAGAGGGCACCAGATGGTTGTGAGCCACCATGTGGTTGCTGGAACTTGAACTCAGGACCTCTGGAAGAGCAGCCAGTGCTCTTAACCACTGAGCCATCTCTCCAGCCCCGTCCAGCCCTATTTTTTTTAAATTAAAAAAAAAATTTCATTTATATGCTGGGCAGTGGTGGCACATGCCTTTAATCCCAGCACTTAGGGAGGCAGACAGACCTCTGTGAATTCAAGTCCAGCCTGGTCTACAGAGTGAGTTCCAGGGTAGCCAAAGTTACACAGAGAAACCCTGTCTTGAAAACCAAAACAAAACAAAAGAAAAAAAGTACATTTCTGTCTTGTGTTGGGAGTGTGGGACACTCACATGCCCCAGTATGTATGTGGAGGTCAGAAGACAACTTTCAAGAGGTGTTTCTCTTGGGGAATTGAACTTGGGTCTTAAGGCTTGGTGGCAAGTGCCTTTTTCACTTAGCCATCTTGCCCACCCCTTCTGCGTTCTTTGTTACAGGTCCTCATGTAGCCCAGGCTAGCCTGAACCTGGCAGCATAGTTACAGTCCAGAGATGGTGGCCCAGGCCTTGCTGAGGCTCTTTTTTTAAAAAAACATTTATTTATTTATTATGTATACAATATTCTGTTTGTGTGTATGCCTGCAAGCCAGAAGAGGGCACCAGATCTCATTACAGATGGTTGTGAGCCACCATGTGGTTGCTGGGAATTGAACTCAAGACCTTTGAAAGAGTAGGCAATGCTCTTACCCTCTGAGCCATCTCTCCAGCCCCTGAGGCTCTTATAGAGCACCAAATGTACCAGAATCTGGCAAATTCTGAACTCCTAAATTTTTTCCCTAGCATTCATGCCAGCCCCTTCCTTTGATTGACAGCTTAAAAAGAAGAAAAATTCCAGCCGGGCGGTGGTGGTGCACACCTTTGCCTTTAATCCCAGCACTCGGGAGGCAGAGGCAGGTGGATCTCTGTGAGTTGGAGGCCAGCCTGGACTAAAAGAGCTAGTTCCATGACAGGCTCCAAAGCTACAGAGAAACCCTGTCTCAGAAAAAAAAACAAAACAAAAAAAACAAAAAACAAAAAAACTAAGAACCTTATAAGGCAGACATCAGTGTAACCTACCACAAGAAGAAGTTGCCTCCTCAAACGCTTTCACTTTTTTCTTTTTTTTTTTGAGATAAGGTCTCTGTGGACTTTGAACTCACTGACTCAGATAGCCAGTCTGGCCAATGAATTTCATGGTTCTCCCTGTTTCTGTTTCCCAGCACTGGGACCACAGATTTGGGCGATAGCCCCTGACTTTGACCTGGGAGCTAAGGATCTGAAGTCATGTCCTCAGGATCTTATAGCACGCACTTCACTGACCTAACCGTCTCTCCAGGCCCCCGCACATTCAATTTAATTCATCATCATCCAGAGACCTGGGATTACATGTAATTCCAGTGAACTTTAATGTACTTTTAAAAAAGTTTCACTTAGGAATTTCCACACCCATAAGTGTGGAATTGGCCAGTTGACATTCATTTGAGGGGATTTGGGGCTTTTTTGTTTGTTTATTTCTACACAGGATTTCCCTGTGTAACCCTTGCTGTTCTGGAACACCAGGCAGACCTTGCATTCAGAGACTGCCTGCCTCTGCCTCCTGAGTGTTGGATTAAAGGCGTGCGCTGGTAGATTTGGGGTCTATTAAACCTCAAGCTCTTTTGTATTTTCTGTGTGATTGACACAACCTAGGTGCCTACAGATCGCTGACAAGTGTTTCATAGAGTTTACTCTGCTCATCCCCATGGTGAGAAGCTCTGGGGTGGGGGTGTGCAAGCTGTACCCTTTTTTTGTTTGTTTGTTTTGTTTTTGTTTTTTGAGACAGGGTTTCTCTGTAGCTTTGGAGCCTGTCCTGGAACACGCTTTAGACCAGCTGGCCTCGAACTCACAGAGATCCAACTGCCTCTGCCTCCCAAGTGCAAGGGTTAAAGGCGTGTGCCACCACTGCCCAGCCTGTAATCAGTCCGATGTTTATCTCACTTTGTGCTTTATTGTGCACATGGCATTGAGTTAATTATCGCCAGGAAAGTTTTCACCAAATGGTACTGTGCTTAAATATGCCTAAAATAAACTACCTGGGGTCAGACTCCTGAAGTTTGAACCCTCACCAGCCTTTTTGCCTCCTGGGGATCATGATTTTGCTGGCTGTGGTGGCCTCGCTCTCTGAGTTTTAGGATTTTATCCTGCACTACTGAGGAAAGCAAGCTGAGCGTGGGTAGAGGAGGGGCAAGCAAAGTTGACCGCCCTGGAAACGCCCTACCGATCAGCATGATGACCAAGTTAGCGGCGCCGTATTTTTCTATCTCGCGAATCCAGTGAGGGACAGACTCGAACGTGGATCGCCGCGTGAGGTCGTAGGCAATGATGGCGGCGTGGGCACTCCGGTAGTAGCTTTGAGTGATGGTGCGGAAGCGCTCCTGGCCTGCTGTGTCCCATACCTGCATCTGCAGGGCGGAAGAGATAACAGGAGGGTTAGCAACATGGACAGTCCTTCATTTAAGTCACCTTACAAATAGTTTCCTGTGGGCTGGCAAGATGGCTCAGTGGGTAAAGGTGCTGCCGCCAAGCCTGAGGACCTGAGTTCAGTCTCTGGGACCCTCGTGGTGGAGGGAAAGGGCCAACTCTGGCAGGTTCTCCTCCACTTTCACATACACACAGTGGCAGGCGTGCCCACATAGGCACACACAGCAAATGAATAAAATACATTTTGAAAGAACGAATAAATTCCCACGTATTCAATGTATTCAGATTCAGTAGGGCCGGGAGGGGTCAAAATGTGCTGTCTGGTTTAGGGTCACCCTGAGGGGCTCTCCCACTGATGGGAGGATTACTTATTCCTGGGTCTTTTCTTTTGACTTTTGACCTCAGACATCCCTTGGCCTAGATTTTTGGGTTCATATTTTGAGTTCACGCATTGGGAGGAATCCTGGCAAAGGGGATGGTATAGGCTGAACTGCACTGGTTTTGAAGGACCACTCAGACTTTTCGCATCCAGTAGCATCCTTATCACAGTACTCCAGAATATCATCCCAAGCATGGACCACATCAGCGCCAACGTATACACCTTTCAATAGTGTCTATGTTTTTTTTAAATATTTATTTATTTATCATGTATACAATATTCTGTCTGTGTGTATGCCTGCAGGCCAGCAGAGAGCACCAGACCCCATTACAGATGGTTGTGAGCCACCATGGAGTTTCTGGGAATTGAACTCAGGACCTTTGGAAGAGCAGGCAATGCTCTTAACCTCTGAGCCATCTCTCCAGCCCAGTGTGTATGTTTTTAAAATCATTGTGTGTGTGTGTGTGTGTGTGTGTGTGCATGCGCCTGCGTGTGTGGGTGCCTGCAAGCATCACAGTCAGCAGGGAAATGACCCAGGTGAGGTACGAATGACTTAGCCAGCCAGTGCAGGGACAAATTTCTAGAGTCTGTCACTAGGTTGTTTATTTTAGCCATGTTTAAGCACAGCACAATTTTGGAAAAATGTTTTCTGATGTCAATTAACCGAGTCCTTTGTGTATAACAAAGCTTAAGACATGATTACATGAGACTTTCCAAAGTACAAATGGCTTCTTACATAAAGATGGGCTCCGTTGAACAGTGTTCACGATTTAGGGTCTAGGGAGAATGACTGAGACGGACATAATGCCTGTGGGAGCTAGGAGTGGCCTGGCCTAAGACATCAGAGAATTTGCCAGGTGGCGGTGGTGGCACACACCTTTAATTCCAGCACTTGGGGAACAGAGGCAGGCAAATCTCCTGGTCTGAGGCCAGCCTGGTCTACAGAGTGAGTTCTAGGACAGCAAAGGACTAACTACAAAGAGGAGCCCCATCTTTTAAGTCGCTTAGGCTGTTGTATAAAGTACAAGTGATGTCACTCATAAAGGATGGCTTTACTTAACTTAGAAGTGATGCTCAAGACTTAGGGGGAAGTTCTGGGATAAACAAAATATGAATTCTGGGGAATATGGGTGAAGCTGGCTCTACAGAGAGCAAAGTCTCGCCAGTTTGCAAATGGTAAACGTCTCTTTCCCTCAAGAGATAAGCCTACAAGCTGAACTTTTCCTGCTCTACAGTGCTTATCTGTGTGCACGAGGACATGTTGCCCTCTACACGTGTGTAGGTCAGAGCAGAGTCTCTCCTACCAAGTAGGGCCCAGGGAAGGAAATCAGGTCGTCAGACTTGGGGGTAAGCTGTCATGCTGGCTCTGACTGTATTCTTAAAAAATTTATGAAGCAAGTTTTGTCTGGTCTGTGGCCACTTTTTATATTTGTTCATTGGCCTTTTGTCTGTTTATTTTTGAGACAGGGTTGGCTGGCTGACCTTGAACTCACAGAGATCCAATTGCTTCTGCCTCCCATGTACGAGGATTAAAAGCATGCACTACCTAATTTAGTTCCTTTTATTTTATTTTATTAAAGATTTCTTTACTTACTATGTATACAGTGTTCTGCCTGCACACCAGAAGAGAGCACCAGATCTCATTACAGATGGCTGTGAGCCACCATGTGGTTGCTGGGAATTGAACTCAGGACCTCTGGAAGAACAGCTCTTAACCTCTGAGCCATCTCTCCAGTCCCCAACTCTGTTTATTATTGAGGGTCCTTACTATCTATGTAGCTCAGCCTGACTTGGTACTCAAAATGTGGCCCAGGTGGCCTCAGTCATCTTGCCTTTGCCTTATGCTGGGATTATAGGTGTGTGCCATCGCACAGTTGCTGGTGCTTTTCTTAGACATTTATCAAAATTCTTGCTACACCAAAGAAGCTAGTTTTTTCTCATATTGCAAATATTTCCAATTTGTCTTTCCTCTTTTGACTGCTTATCATACTTTTGGTTTGTAGAAATTATGACCTTTAGGTGGCTTCTTAAACCTTATGTTAAGTGTTCACACCTTACTTAAAATGGGGGTTCTGGCTGAAACAATGGAGCTACCCCGGTGTCCCTCTGACCTTCACTTTCTTGCCGTCTATCTCGAGGGAGCGCACGGTGAAGTCCACCCCAATGGTGTTCTGCTGTGACTCGGTGTAGACCCCAGACTTGAAATGCTGAACCACACATGTCTTCCCCACGTTGGAATCGCCAATGAGGATGACCTTGAACAAATAGTCCACGTTCTCATCTGCTGCTCGCATGGCTCTGGCTGAGCTCCTAGAACAGACCCAGGGAGGAAAGACAGCGTTCAGTTCCTGCACCGGGGATCCAGTAGAAGACAAGCTGGGGTAGCTGTGGCTTTCACAGGACAAACACTGCCATGGGCGAGGGATGCCAATGCCTGTTCAGGTGTAGGGAGTTGCCCCACAAGCCTACACCCCGGGTATAAGTGGTCACAGCTTCCGGAAGGCCCTCACACTGATAAGACCATTCTTCGATGGGAAAAGAGTGTAGTCAGCTTTACCAAGTTAGAGGCCTGAGAAAACCCCAGTTCTGAAGATGAGGTACTCAAAGAGCAGGGTAGTGGAGGGAATGCTTACAGGAGGAGCTCCCTGGCTGTCAGTCAGGTAGATGCCGTGCCCGCAGCCACTAGAAGCCTGGCTGCCCATCAACTCATGACAACTGACAAGATTTGCCTGGGAAGCCAGTTTAAGGAAGACTCACAGGTCTGTGAGCACACAGAAGAGGCCAGAGGTAGTGGGTCCCCTGAAACTGGAGTGATAGGCAGTTGGGAGGTTGAAGCGGATGTTGGTGCTTTTAGCCTTGGAACCATTTTGCCAGCACCCACGTGGCCTTTTTACTCTGGGTAGCACTCCATTTTTCTCAAACAGGAAATTAAATTTGGAGGATATTCAAAACTAAAACTTTAGTGAGAATGATATGGCAGGGCGGTGTGTGGGGGCACACAACTTTAATCCCAGTGCTCAGGAAGCAGAGGTAGGTAGATCTCTATGAGTTCAAGGCCAGCCTGGTCTACATAGCAAGTTCCAGGATAGCTAAGGTTATATAGTAAAACTTGGGGGTGGGGGAGAACTCTATGGGAAATTCTAGTATGGAAAAAAAAATAACTTAAAGGTTTCTAATGTTGGTATTTGCCAAACTTAATGATTATCAGAATTAGCTGGAAGAGATAGTTAAAAATACATATTATTAGAACTTATGTCAGATCTACTACATCTATCCATCCATCTATCTATCTATCTATCTATCTATCATCTATCCATCTATCTACCTACCTACCTATCTCTTTATATAGATACATATACATATATATTTAATTTATGGGGCTGGAGAGGTGACTCAGTAGTTAAGAACATTGGCTGATCTTCCAGAGAACCCAGGTTTGGTTTCTAGCACCCACACGATACCTCACAACCATCTGAGACTCCAGTTTCAGGGAACCCAATGCTGTCTTCTGTCCTCTATGGGCACTGCATGCATGCGGAACAGAGACATATATGCAAACAAATCATCCATACACATAAGATAATAACAAATAACATTTAAAAACATTTATTTTTATTTTATGTGTTTACATAAAAAAAAAAAAAAGAAAGAAAGCCAGACACGGTGACATGTGCTTGTGAGCCTGTCTCTGGGGAGGTGGATCCAAAGGATCCCTGGGGCTCACTGCTCAGCCAATCTAGTCCACACAGTGAACTCTGGGCAAATGATGGGTCCTGTTTCCAAAACAGGATGGCACTGAGGATGATACATGAGGTTGATCTCCGGCTGCAACATGATGTGCACACACATGAACACACACAAAAACTAAAACAACAGGGGGCTGGAGAGATGGCTCAGAGGTTAAGAGCATTGCCTGCTCTTCCAAAGGTCCTGAATTCAATTCCCAGCAACCACATGGTGGCTCACAACCATCTGTAATGGGGTCTATAAGACCCTCTTCTGGCCTGCAGGCATACACACAGACAGAATATTGTATACATAATAAATAAATAAATAAATATTTTAAAAATATTAAAACAACAGATACGCATGTACCTGTTCCCCGGGTGACTCTGATGAGATCTGAGGACCATTGGTCAATGCATCAATTACCTGGAACTACATTCCCACTTTTAACATCTCTGTTTCAACAGTCACCTGGGCTTAAATATCTTCAATCTCTAGGAACTCGATTTCTCCTGAAAACGAGTGTGAACCGGGGCAGCTCTTCATTCTAGGAGCTGAAACCTAGCTCCCTGGGATTCCTATCTGTCAGTCTCCGGCTCCCCTTGCTCTGTAACATGCTGAGTTCCTAGTTCACATGACAACTCTGCAGACATTTGGAGCAGCAAGCATATGCCCGAAAGGACAGGTACCTAGGCATTTAAATCATCATACATTTGGTGAGGTCTGCTTACCAAATATGTCACGAGACCAAAATATCCAAAATACTTTGTTGATTGAACTTGAGGTTCAGTAAACTGCTCTTATCATAAGACACCCTCATTTCTCCTTGATTTGTTCTCTGGTTTTCTCTGATGCCTTAGGAAAGCTCAATTGAAAATGCATGCAAATGCTAGTGTCTATTTTGTCAGACAAATAAAAACACACAAATATCTAGTCTATGCTTTGGTAGAAACCAAAGGTTTTATAGAGGCAAGGAATGGTCTAGGAACTCTAGGTGCCCCTGAGGTCACATAGGAGGAACGATCCTCTAGAGAAGAGATACAATCAAATCACTTTTTTTACTCTCCTGCGTCTTTTCAACTGAAGAAAACCATTCTACTTCCGGCATCTTACCACTGTAACTTGAGCTGAAACATTGTTCCCAAGTCCCGATTCTCTTCCTCCCCATCAAAGAGCCCCTGGGATTCCACAAAATCCCCCTACAAACCTTGCAAGGAGAAACCGGCGGCTCCTTCCAGACACCATTCCACATCCCTGCAACCTTCCCCTGCGTCCACCTGTTGTTTACCTGTCCCCTCTCTCACCTTGCTGGCTGGCGAGCAGGTTGTGTTTGCTTTTTCTCCTTGTTACCTTTGCAGCCCTCAGTGCCCTTCTTCCTCCTACCTTGCCGCGCGCGGTGGAAACTGTAGTTCCGGCCCCTGGCGTCAGGTTTGGTGGCTGGAGAAAGCGAAAGGGAAACAAGGGCAATCCCTCCCACCTGCAAGGAACCCGAAGCTCTCTGGCTGAGATGCTGGCTAGTGCACACAGCTAGCTTCCCTGCCAGAATTCATCAGACCAGGAGAAAACCCAGAGAAACTGCCTTCCCCGCAACTGACACCTGTTAAGCTTCCCTGTTCCTTTTTTGCTCTGCATCCTTCATCCTCCATCCTGCCCGATACACTTGCTTGTTTGGCTGGGCAGGGAGGCTGATAACCGAGATGACATCGAGTTAAAGGAGGATATTGATCTGGGTCTCGAGAAGTCACTGGAAGAAAGCAGGTGCTTGTGCAACAAGGGTCCATAAGATGTCTCATGTCTCAGTCGGTAAGGGTACCTGCTGACAAGCTTGAAGACCTGAGTTCTACCCCCAGGGCAAGTTGTTCTCTGAACACGCGTACGTGCGTGAACACACGCACACGGACAAAATAAGTGAATGTAAAATAAAAAACAAAATAATATAACAAAAATCCCCAAACCAAATAAACGAAAAGCTCACGAATCAAAAGAATTTAGAGCAGTGGGGGATTTACTTGCCTAATAAGTGCAAGGCCCTGGGTTCTGTTCTCAGCACAGAAACAAAATAATAAATGAAATAAAGATGCCTTATTGCTTGTGTGTGTGTGTGAGAGAGAGTCCCAATTAGAAGTTCTTTTTTTTTTTTTTTTTTTTTTTTTTTTTTTTTTTTGAGACAGGGTCAATTAGAAGTTCTACCACACGACAGAGGCTATTTTGTTTTTATTTATTTATTTATTTATTTTTCGGGACAGGGTTTCTCTGTGAGACAGTCCTGGCTGTCCTAGAATTTGCTCTGTAGACCAGGCTGTCCTCCAACTCACAGAGATCCGCCTGCCTCTGCCTCCTGAGTGCTGGGATTAAAGGTGTGCGCCACCACTGGATGGCTCTGGAGAGGCTAAGTTTTAAGTGTGAGAAAGCTTAGAATTGATTGGTCCTTGAAGCTGTCAGTAGGAACAAAGATCTGAGATGAATTTCTTTCTGTTTCCACCCAAAGAGTCTACCAGTCCTGGACTCTGTTAATTAAGTGTTTCTCAGAGCCTATCCTAGGAACTGGGTTTTCACGCAGGGAAGATGGGTCTGCGGATAAGCCGCTTGCTGCCCTTCCAGATGACTTGAGTTCAGTTCCCAGCATTCATGTCTTGCAGCCCTGAAATAAGAGACAATTGTCCCTTGTTCAAGAACACTGTATCTCTGAGGCCTTCAAATAACCTTTAAGTTGTGACTCATCTTACCCCGAATTCCACCCACACAGGATTTTTGAAAATATCTCTTTTAAGCAAGGCAGCTCAAAGCTTGAGTATGGTTTTTCTCTCTATCTAGAGCGAGTACAAGCAAGACACTGTCTAACGTGCTGCCGGCTGTGGTTTTGAGATCCTCTGTCACACGCATAACCTAACCTGGAAACGAGGTCAAGATCCACCACAAACATGTGGGCTGGGGCGGGAAATACACTGTAATGTCAGTGTCACTGGCGGGAACTGCAAATGTTTTCTTTCTTTCTTTCTTTTTTTTTTTCTTTCTTTTGGTGATGATTATGGTCAAAACCAAAAAAAGCCAGTTGGCTCAGACCCAGACCACATTGCATACTGGGAGGGCACCTGAAGGTGGAAATCAAGGGTTAAAATAGCCTGCTGGTTGCCTTTCTACATCACTTCTAGGTTTTCAATTAATTGATTTTTAATTTTTATTTATGTGAATGAGGGAGCCGTGTGTGTGTGTGTGTGTGTGTGTGTGTGTGTGTGTGTGACATATTCGGGTCCCTGAGAAGACCAAATTAAGACAAAGGATCTCTTGGAACTAGAGTTATGGCAGGTGGTGAGCTGCCTGATATGGGGCTGGGAACTGAACTTGGGTGCTTTAGACGAACAGCATCTGCCCTTAACCACTGGACCATCTCCAGTATCTCATCTCCCCTTTTACTTCATTTTCAAATCCACAAATGGAAAAGCTGAAATACGTACAATTTGAAAATCCACTTGCTAGGTGTTGCTTTTTGCCCACACCTGTTTAAAACCGAGGCGCTTCCGTTATCGGCCTGGACGGATATATTTCTCCCTTACCTGAGTCTCCCTCCCTTTATAAACAAATTGTTTTATTTAACTGTGTAAGGTGTTTTGCTCGCACACATGTTTGTGTACCGTGTGCATGCCTGGTGCTGGAGGAGGTCAGACGAGGATATCAAATACCCATATAGACAGTTATGAGGGGGCTGGAGAGATGGCTCAGAGGTTAAGAGCATTGCCTGCTCTTCCAAAGGTCCTGAGTTCAATTCCCAGCAACCACATGGTGGCTCACAACCATCTGTAATGAGGTCTGGGGCCCTCTTCTGGCCTGCAGGCATACACAGACAGAATATTGTATACTAAATAAATAAATCTTTTTTTTTTTAAAAAAAAAAAGCCCCCATTGGCTCACCTGACAATTATGAGGCACCATGTAGGTGCTGGGGATTGAATCCAGGTCCTCTGGAAGAGCAACCGCTCTCCACCCCCTCTTGTCCCTTTCCTGTGCATCCTGAGCTGTAAAAACATTTTGATGTCTCTGTGTTGGGGTTTGGCTGGCCCTAAGGCTTTCTGCTTTAGCTCCTTGTGTCAGCCTCTCTTCTGCTGGAGGATCTTGGGTCTGTTGCTGCGACTTCAGCTTTCCTAACCAGAAGCCATCGGGCCTTTGGTAAGCCTTGGCTAAAAGGTGGTGTGCAAGTCGAGAGAAACTTGGCCAGCATCACCAATGCCATAGAGTAACTGTGAACTGAATCAGGTCCAGGAGTGCCCCAGAAAGCAACATTTATCACGTGACCACTGGAGCTGGCTCCCGCAGAGCTTTGCAGCTGGTTTGATTCAAGGGTTAGCACCTGGGCCTGGATCTGCCTTTTGTGTCCACTACCTTCTGTTTGAAGTATGTAAATCTTATCTGTGTGTTTCCTAAAGGGTTCAAAGCCTATGCAAAACTTGGTTGCTGGGAGGACTCAGAAAACCGAGGTGTCCTGTGACTGGGAATTGCTTTGGCATTTGTCTCTTTGGGGAGCTTCAGATATGAGGTTTTGGTGTGTGAAAACTGACTTGCTAAGGTGTAAATTGTCTAACAATAAAATGCTATTTGCAAAGCTACAGTCAAGCCGTTCACCAGAAGCTCAAAGGCTACAAATCATCCTAAAGTGACCCTGTTTCTTCCACAGACCCGTGTGAACCCAACACCTGACACAACATCCCTATGGTGGTGTTTCTTGAACATGCTTAGATGTGTGTTTTGTGTTTATCATGATTTTTGGATTCCTGTTCTGAGTGTTCAAAGTATAACGAAGCGTTCTTATTACCTGGTCTTGGACATCCTGCAAAAGGCGATTTGGTGGCGGCAGTGGCGTCTTCCTCTGCCTCTTTCTATTTTTGTGTATGTGTTTATCTTTGTAAGTGTATGCCACGCCTGTCGTCTGTGCAGTGCCGTGGAAACCAGAAGAGGATGTCGAGTCCTTTGGACTTGTAGTGGTTGTGAGTCACCATGTGGGTGCTGACCTGTTTCCTGGAAGAGCAGTCAGTGAGCCATCTCTCCAGCCCCATTAAAAAAAAAAAAATGAACTGAGTTATTTATTTAATCATCTCTCCAGTCCTGCTGCTGGGAATATTTTTTTGGTTTCTCTGTAGCTTTGGTGCCTGTCCTGGAACTAGCTCTTGTAGACCAGGCTGGCCTCGAACTCACAGGGCTGCCTCTGCCTCCCGAGTGCTGGGATTAAAGGTGTGCCACCGCCTGACGCTGCTGGGAATCTTAATCAGCATGATTTATTTTGGTGGAGTGGCGATGGGGTGTAGAGCCGTGAATTGCATTTAATGAAACAAAAATCTAAAGTAGAATAAAGCCTCTTTTTGAAAAAATGGTTAGCCTTCCAATTCTTTTCAAATCATGTCTCTCACTCATTACCTCTTTCCAGCTAACATTTCTGGCCACCGTCCCCGCCCTCTGCATGCAGGTGAAGCGGCATTGACGGACTACAGCTCCCGGCATGCCCCCGTACACTGGGTCACGTGAGGTCCGGAAGCTCTGGCCACTTCGCTGGGTGAGGCGGCGGCGGGGGCTGCTGGCAGCCCGAGTATAGCGGAGTAGGTACTTCGGCGGGTCTCAGGTGCGAGTCTGCGTGCGTCCGGGTGCTTGGGGCCCTAGCCCGGCTGGGTGCGCGGGGAGCTTCGGGTGCCGGAGGCTCGGGCAGCTGGTGGGTGTGGCAGCGCGGGCACGGCTGGCCGCTGGACCCCTCCGGACCCCACCGGAGCTCCCGGTGCTGCCGCTGCTCGGTCCTGAGGCTTGTGTGCACCGCAGGGGGGGGAGGACACCCTAGAGGGAAGGTGGCCTCAGTCCAGCCCACGCGATCCCCCGGCGGGGGGAGACTTGTACTCCTCGAACCATCGGTCCCTTGGCCTTGGATCATGGGACATTTGAACTGAAGAAAAATGAAACCCAAGAAGAGGGCTCATGGTTTAGCCATTGGAGGCCTCTTTTCAGGTAGGGTGGAAGGCTTTTGAATAGGTTGCACCGAGGTCAGAGAGGAAGAACGGACTTCGTGGAGAAACTAGGCTTTTGTTTTCTAGTAACTACCAAGAATTCGGCTCTGTTACTTATTCATCTTTCTTTGACTCTTATTTGCAGAGTGTGGCCTGTTCTTAATTTTGATAGGGACAACGGGAATGTGTCCACTTAGTTTTAATGTTTCCTGAAATACGTTAGGCGATGCTGTGATTACTTACTGAAATGTTTTAGAGGAAGCATAGTTGCCAGGGCGAGCAAAACCAGACTTGTAATTGCTAGCCTCTAACCATTGCTTGGTATCTTCACACACGTTTCTGAGTTTACGAAATAATCGCCGATGAAAAGAGCGCCTTTGCTTCTTTGATGGCTGGATTATTTCTTCGCCATTTGCCAGATGTTTCCTGTCTGACAGACTGCCCTAAAAAATGCAGTAAATCGTTTCATTTAATCCTTAAGTGAGGAAATTGAGCCTCAAAGAAGTGAACTAAATGGACTTGAATTTTCATGTCAGAGTAATGGGTGGTCTTTCTCTGGCTCTCAGGAGCAAGCAGGTTCAGTGTTCACTGTCTAAGGTTCTGGATGGGTGCCTGTTCGTCAGTGAGGGTGACATGTCATTACAGTGACCATTGGCATGGTTAGTGCTTTGTCTGGAGGAGGAAGGAGAAAGTAGTTGTCTTTGGAACGTGTCCAAAAATAGCAAATAAGGAGAATGTGGTCTTAGGAACCTTGGTATAAAAGGGTGTGGTTTTAGAACCCTGCCACAGATAGCTAGGTCCTTAAACATCTTTGGTAATGAGGCAGTTTTAAGAAAAGAAAAAAAATTACTAGATTTGGGGTGTGTGTGTGTGTTGACAGGTGTCAAGTTGTCCAGGTCACCTCCACCTCCCCGCCTAGCTGGAGATAACCTTGAACTTCTGATCTTCCTGTCTCGCTAGGTTTGCTACTGTTTACCAGCGCGGCAGGTGTAGTGTGTGCTGGTCAAACACTCTCCCATTGACCAAACCCTGCTTCTAAGGCAGGCTTCCAAATGAATGTGCACTCTGCCTGTTTTTGAGACAAGGTGTAGTTCTGTAATCCAGGCTGGCCTCAAATTTAGGCTCTTCCTGCTGGGATCATAGGAGTATATACCTGGGTAGGCTCGAGTTTTGAAAAGAGAAGGGATGTGCGTGGAATTGGTGAATAGTTTCTAGTTAGATGACGAGAGATCAGAAAGATACTGTTTAAGTGCGGAGTATTGGCACATAAACGATAGCACATAAAGTACTGTGAAATCGCCGAACTCAGCGATGCGTCTGATGCCTTTCTATCTACCAGTACTTTGAGTACACATGTAAAAACCAAATCCTTGAGAGTCGGATGATTGCCAGTTCTGCCCATTTGAGGGTATAAGGGAACCACACTTGTTTATAAGTTGGACTTTTCCTATCCTCAACTACATACCAGTGGGTTTAAGATGTGGTAATTCTAATTATGTATTATGCAGCCTGGCGTGTTTTCTCTTTTAACTTTCCCGCTTACACAATATGCTGTGGAGTCTAGTTAGAGCTGGATTTGAGTGCATGCTTTGTCTCTCAGGAGAGAAATTACTTTCTGAGATTTTTTTTCTCACCTGAAAGCCACCTGGAGAGCTGGCTCCAATTATATGTGCAAAGACCCTATCAGGATGCTGGTGTCTTGTAGGCAGGCATTCATCACCCTGGGCGATGGTGACATAAACCTTTAGCCCCAGCATGTGGGAGGCAGAGGCAGAGGGATCTCAGTGAGTTCAAGGCCAGCCTGGTCTACAGAGAGTTCTGGTCAGCCAGGGCTACACAGAAAAACCCTATCTCATAAATAAATAGATAAATAAATAAAGAAAGAAGAGAAAAGAGAGAAATCATTGACAAAGTTTGTGTTTTATTTTGATGGTCTGAGTGCTCTGGGAGGTCCTGGGGATACAGCTGTGGACTTAGTACAGAGAAAGACACCATTTTTTAAAATGGAGTTTACAGATGAACAGTAAACATGTATCATTAAAGAAGCAGAAATGGGAATGGAAACTTTTTATTTATTTATTGGTACAGGGACTTGAACGCAAGTGCTCTACTACTGAGCCATGTCTAGTTCTATTTTATTTTTGTTTCTAGACAGGATCTCAATGTTACCCAGGCTGTCGTCTGTTATTGCACTCCATAGTCCACACAGGCCTTGAAATGGCAGTGTCTGTTGTTGACTTTGAGTAGGTGGGACTGACCATATTTCGTGTTATCTCCAAGGCCAGTGCATTTAGTGTTTTGTAATGAAGTCTTGTTGTGATGCTGACCTTGAACCGCTGAGTACTGAGTCTCACCTCCACTCCCTCCTAGCTGGGCAGTGTGCCGCAGTATCCTGCTCATGGGGTCTCACTGTGAAGCTCTGGTGTCTTGTAGGCGGGCCTAGAACTTGCTTTGTGGACCAGGCTGACCCCAAACACCTCTGCACCCTGAGTGCTGGCGTTAAATGTGACCACACCTGGCCCCAAGGGGAAGTATTTTTTTTTATTTATTATGTATACAATATTCTGTCTGTACATATGTCTGCAGGCCAGAAGAGGGCACCAGACCTCATTCCAGATGGTTGTGAACCACCATGTGGTTGCTGGGAATTGAACTCAGGACCTTTGGAAGAGCAGGCAATGCTCTTAACCACTGAGCCATCTCTCCAGCCCCCAAGGGGAAGTATTTTTGATGAGTGGTCCGAGTAGTTCTTGGGGAGGTGACATCTGAGTAATGACCCCCAGAAAGGGAAGACCAAGCTGTTGTAGAGAACCAAGAGAAAAACACCAAGGTCCAAAAGGATGCCTTGGTGGGTTCAGGAATCGGAGATGGGGGGAGGTGTAAGGAGTGGGGAGGGAGAGGAGGCAAGCGGACAAAGAGTAGATTGTGGCCTGGCAGAGGACTAGAAGCCGCTCAGCTGCCCAGTGGGGACTGGTACAATAGATAGGGATTTATTTGTTCACATAATGGGACCTGCTCGGACTCAAGCAGCAGGTGTGTAGGTGCTGAGAAAATAGATCGCCTCTGATGGTGAGGAAGAAAAGGGCCCGGACTGTGTGCTGTGTGCTTGGAAGTGTGTTTGTCTGAAGGGCTCTGCTTGGGGTGAATGCTGCGATCCAGAGTCTGCCAGAACAGGAAAGGAACTCATCAGACAGGGGTTTGGAGATGGGAGGTGGGGGTGAGAAGTGGGGCGGCCTTCCTGTTACTCTCCGCCCTTTTATATCATTTGATGTTGTGCTCTGTGGTTTGTATTCGAGGCCTCTTCCCACAAAGCTCATTTGGTGAGGTCCTGATGCCCAGGTGGCAGTGCCCTTGAGAGTGATTGCATCATCAGGATGCTAACTTCATCAACAGCTAAGCTACCGCTGAATTCCTACCCAATAGGCTGTTAGGAGGTCAGTCTTGGTGGAAGGAGATCTGGGGGCCTGCCTTTGAAGGGTGAATCTTGACTTTGCCTGCTGCCTGTGGCTCCCATGCTTCCTTAGCTGCTTGCTGTGAGGTGAGCATTTCCCCCTCCCCATGCCCCTCCATCTTGACATTCGGTCTTGCTATAGGCGCAGAGTCGGTTGACCCAAGCATGGAGTGCCGCCTCTGAACTGTGAGCCATTGTAAATCCTTGTCTTAAGTGGTTTGCATCAGGTATTTGTCTTTGTGATGACCAAGCTTACCACTGGGAAGTACAGTAAAACAACCTTCAGCCATCCAGCCCAGTCTATGCAGGCAGACCCCACCAGCCCTGATGTTCCCCATCCCTTAGTCACACCCATTTCTTACCGGGAACTAAGACAGACAGACAGACACACTGGGAAGGTTCTGCAAAGACCTTCTTCTTCTTCTTCTTCTTCTTTTTTTTTTTTTTTGACAAAACTGACAAGTTTCTTGGAAAGCCATCAAAAGGTTGTAAGCAGAAGTTGATTCCTCCTCCCCCTATCCCCCTCTTTTTTTGATGGGGCTAATAATAAACCTGGGGCCGTGCATATTCTGTCCTTGCAACTTAATGTTAGCCTACATTTTTGGTAGCAATACTGTAGCTAGCTAACCTTTGATTTTATGTGTTTCGGGGATAGAGTCTTTCTTTGTAGCTCAGGCTGATCTCAGAACTAACCATAGTCCTGCCTCAGCCTCCTAAGTGCGTTCACACATGTCCTACCCTGCCTGATGGTCAGATTAATGTTGTAAGATGTAGTTTTACAGCCGGGCGGTGGTGGTGCACGCCTTTAATCCCAACACTCGGGAGGCAGAGGCAGGTGGATATTTGTGAGTTCGAGGCCAGCCTGGTTTAGAGAGCTAGTTCCAAGACAGGCTCCAAATGCTACAGAGAAACCCTGTCTCAAAAAACAAAAAACAACAACAACAACAAAAACAAAACAAAACAAAACAAAAAACCCCAACAAAATACAAAAAAAAAATGTAGTTTTACTAATGTGTGAAGAATCATTTGGGGGTGCTGTGAATATTTAGGGAGCGAAA